AGCAACAGCAGCACCAGCAGCAGCAGCACCAGCAACAGCAGCAGTAACGGCTGCTGCTGCTGCTGCTGGTGCTGCTGCTGCTGAAGCTGCAGCAGCGAATTATGAACCGGGCGAAAGGCTGGATATTGTCGATCTCAAGAAGGCACGTGCTGCTGATGCTGCTGCTGTTGCTGTTGCTGCTGCTGCTGCATCCGCTCCTGCTGCTACTGCTTCTGCTGCTGCTGATCTTAATTATCTGCTGCGGCGTTGTTAGACGGCTTCTCGTTTATGTGCTGCTGCTGCTTTGCTGCTGCTGTTTTGCTGCTGCTGCTTGCTGCTTTGCTGCTGCTGTTTTGCTGCTGCAGAGGTCGAGGCAGTTTGTAACGGATGATATTAAAAAACAAATACGTGCTGCTGTACAAGAAGGTAAATCCTGCTGCTGTTGCTTCTGCTGCTGCTGCCGCTGCAGCTCCTTTTCCTGGGGCTGTAGCAGCTGCTGCTGGGACTCATGCCGCTGCTGCGGTTGCTGCTGCTTCTGCTGCTGCTCCGGCTCTTGCCGGTGCTGCTGCTGCTGCTGGGTGTTTGATGCTGCTGCGGCTCTTGCTGCTGCTGCAGCGGGTGCTGCAGCTTCTATTAGTGGTGCTCCTGGTTGAGTTGCTGCTGCTTTTGCTGCTGCTGCTTTTGCTGCTGCTGCTTCCTATATTTGTCTGTCTCTGATTTTTCCTCTTCTGCTGCTGGCGTTGCTGTTGCAGCAGCAGCAGCAGCAGCTGCTGCTGCTGCTGCAAGACAGCCAGTGCATGCTTTGGTGAGTAGGTTACCTCATTGATGCTGCTGCTGCGGCTTTTGCTGTTCTTGCTGCTGCTGCTGCTGCTGCTGTCTACAGGTGCAGCACTGAGTGAGAAGACGGTGACGAAGACTGTCAGATTCGCCGGACGCGAATTCCAGTACGTCAGCTAGCTAGCTAGCTAGCTAGCTAGCTGTGTGGCTAGCTAGCTAGCTAGCTAGCTAGCTAGCTGTGTGGCTAGCTAGCTAGCTAGCTGTGTGGCTAGCTAGCTAGCTAGCTTTGTGACTAGTTAAGTGTGTGACTAGCTGGCTAACTAGCTTGATATGTAGGGCTAGGCGTGTGGCTAGCTGGCTAGCTAGACGGCTAGCTAGGTAGTTTTGTGACTAGCCAGTTGGCTAGCTAGACAAGTAGCTATCTAGCTATCTAGCTATCTAGCTAGCTACCTAGCTAGCTAGCCGGTGTTCTGAGTCAGTCACATTGCGAGCTGTGTGAGGCGCTGAGAATGGGAGTCTCTGGCGTGCTTATTGTTGCTGCTGCTGCTGCACATGCTGTTGCTGCTGCTGCACTTGCTGCTGCTGCATTTGCTGTTGCTGCTGCTGCTGTTTAGGATTGAAGAGAAGGTCTCTGCTGAGCGGTTTGCTGCTCTTGCGAAGCAGCAGCAAAAGAATGTAGAAGTGAGAGGGAACCTACAGGCACTCGATGCCCTAGACAAAGGTATGTTTGCTGCTGCTGCTGCTGCTGCTGCTGCTGCTGCTGCTGCACTTCCGGCTGCTGCACTTCCAGCAGCTGCACTTGCGGCTGCTGCGAGCGCTGCTGCTGTTGCTTTTACGTTTGCTGCTGCTGCGCTTCTCGCTGCTGTAGTTGCCGCTGCTATACTTGCTGCTGCTGCGCTTGCTGCTGCTGCCTTTGCTGCTGCTGTACGTGGTGCTGCTGTGCGCTGGCTGCTGCTGTAGCTGCTGCCGCTTCTGCTGCACCCGTTGCTGCAGCAGCGGCATATTCAAATTAAGTAAAGGAAAGCAAATACCCAGTAGAAAGCGCAGCAGCTGCTGCTGCTGCAGCTGCTGGTGCTGCTGCTGGTGCTGTAGCTTGCTGCTGCTGCATTTATCTGCTGTTCTGATTTGCTGCTGCAGCCCTTACGAACGCAACGACTATAAATTCTGTGCAGAAGTCTCGTGCGGATTGGTGAGTAGGGTTTAGGGTTTAGGGCTTAGGGTTTAGGGTTTAGGGTTCAGGCTCCACGTTTAGAATTAAGAGTTTAGTTTAGGGTTTAGGGTTTAGGGTTTAGGGTTTAGGGTTTAGGTTTTGTGTATTTGTTATCAGGAGTCAATTTAAGGAGAAGGCCGGCATTGAAGACGAACTCAAAAGAGGCAAAGGGTGGGTAGCAGCAGCAGCAGCAGCAACAGCAGCAGCAGCAGCAACAGCAGCAGCAGCAGCAACAGCAGCAGCAGCAGCAGCAGTTTGCCGCTTGCAGCTGGTTGCTTACACATCCCAGTACACCGCCATATATTTATTATAATATCTTTCATCTAATATATATATATATACATACATATATATATATATTATACAGATATTTATAATATATTTTTATATAAATATTATTTATATTTATATATGCATTTATGTGTTGCTGCTGTTTTATTTGCTGCTTTTTTTTGTTTTTGTTTGTCTGCACCCGTTGACTCTGCTTTTTATTTTATTTTTATTTTTATTTTTTTATTATTTTTACATTCCTTCGTCACCCACACATTAGTATTATATAATATAGATATATATATATATATATATATATACATATATATATATATTTATATATATATTTATATATATATGTATATGTGCTTGTGTAGATATAAACATATATTAAGTATACATAAATATATATATATATATAAATGAATATAAATAAATATAAATAAATAAATATAAATATAAATATATGCAAGCATAAAACTAAGTTAGTACAAATATAAATATAAGTAACTATGAATATAAATAAATATAAGTAAATAAATATAAATGAAAGTAAATATAAATAAATATAAATAAATATAAATAAATAAATAAATTATGCTTTTTGTTGTTTGTTTGTTTTTTTGGGTTTTGTTTGCGATTTGTTTGCATCGCCGTATTATCCTTTTAAATTCATTTGCTGCTCTTCTTGCTGCTGCTGCTGCTGCTGCTGCTGCTGCTTTTGCTGCTACTCCTGCTGCTATTGTTGCTGCTGCTTTTGCTACTGCTTCTTTTTCTACTGCTGCTTTTGCTGCTCTGTTGTTGCTTCTGCTGCTGCTTTTTTTGCTGCTGTTGCTGCTGCTGTTTCGTTTGGTGCTGCTGCTGCTGCTGCTGCTGCTGCTGCAGTTATTTGGAGCGGCAGGCGTTTTTGGCTGAGACGACGTGGAGCATTCATCAGCAAAATGTGGTGCTGCGGCGGCAGCAGGAGCAGCAGAAGCAGCTGCTGCAGCAGCAGCAGCAGCAGAGAAAACATGGCGCCTAAGAACTCCCTGCTGCTGCAGCTGCTGCTGCAGCTGCTGCAGCTGCTGCTGCAGCAGCAACAGGTGCTGCTGCTACACCATATGCTGCTGCGGTGGCGCTTGTAGGTGTTGATCTGAATTGGTTTGCGTATACAGGGCTTTT